GCTGAGCAAGGAGCCCAATGAAGGACTTGATCCCAGGACCCTGGGACTGTGACCTGAGCCCAAGGCACACACCTAACTGATTAAGCCACCCAGGCATCCCTATAATTGGCAAATAATTCTGATACTTGCCCAGGGTTGAGAGCTACCACTATATATCATCATTTTAAAGTGTATAATTGTTCTTTAGTGAGAAGAAATATTAGAGTAGAAATACTTTTGACTTATATTACAGTCAAAGAAAGGTATACGTTCAGCCAGACCCAACTTAGTTTTCCAGGGCTTTATAACATTGGTTATCTCTGGGCATTTGGGGACATCACTCCTAGTCTGGGGCGGACAGCTCTCCCAGCCACGGGCTGATGAACCTTACTGCAATTTAAGGCTTCAGTACATTTCTCTTTTCCAGCAACCTAACCTTTACCCTGGTATGAATACCCATTGTCTTAGTCACTTTCCCTAAATTCAGTTTTCATTTCCATTGGCTTATCTGTGGCCCATAACATATACTAGGTCTTTCCCTAGTTTTCTTACTTCCTCTCTGTCCTGTTCTAGAAAATGCTCTATGTTTTCTTTTCAGTACAGTCTACTGAAAGGTTTTGTCCCATCTACTTCCTCAGTCTGCTGTCTTTGTGGGCACTTAATTAAACATTCTTAATTTATTTTGACCTCCTAAAAAAAGTTCTTTGGACAGGGAATTTCTGACAATGTCCTTTGTATATATTTATTTGTTTCAAAATTTTTTTTAAAAAGTCTCTAATTAAATTTGATTTTCAAATTCCTTTGGATACTTTTTTTTTTTTTTAAGATTTTATTTATTTATTTGACAGACAGAGACCACAAGCAGAGGGTGGGGGTGGGGAGCAGGCTCCCTGCTGAGCAGAGAGCTCCATGCTGGGCTCAATGCCAGGATGCTTAGATCATGACATGAGCCAAAGTCAGAGGCTTTAAACCACTGAGCCACCCAGGAACCCCCTTTGGATACTTTCTTAATCACATACACAAAACACAAAAAGTATTTCGCTCTTGTTTTAATGGCAAAACTGTAATTCCAAACATATACAAAAGGAAACTCCATTAACTGTTACATCTGTATTTAAGACAGATGCCCTCTTTTGCACACATTGTCAAGACGTTTTGGCAGGATCAAAATTGGTTATTCACTGCTTTATGGAAATGCCATTGTGGTAACTATTTAAGGAATTAAATTCAGGGCATTTAATCAATCCTAGAGTAAAGTTAACTGAGACTTACCACTGGGCTTTATACAGATACTGGTACTTCCCCTCCTCACCCACACGCCGTCCCACCACAAGTACACAGAAGACTCCAAAACTGTTTGTTAGACTCTTTGGATCAAAAGCTAGAATTTTATATTTAAAAAATAACAATACTTAAAAAAAACCCAAAAACACAAATAGCAGCAACAGTTTCTACCCAAATCTGGTGAATAAAGTGATTCACAGGTGTTTTGGGGCTACTCAGACTCAAATTTCTCCCTTTATGAGAAAGAGAATAAATAGAAATGAGAATTCACTCATTAGAAATTTGTTTATTAACAGAAAAAAAAAACCCTTAAAAAATACACCCAAAGAAAATGTTTCCAAATATTTATGAAAAAGTTACAGAGATATGGCAAATTCTGAAATGTTAAAACAGATTCTCTCTCCACTACAGCAAACATCAGCGGTGTGGCCACCAGGAGCAGCCCTGAGAGTACAGGAGTAGTGCCCCATGACATTTTTTCTTGACACAGAAAGAGGTACTGTATAGTGGTTATGAGCCTGACTCTGAGCCAGACAAGCGAGAATAAAAATTGAGCACAATAATTTTCTAGCTGTGCAACCTTCAGCAAGTTAGGTCACAAATCTGTGCTTTGGTTTCCATAAAACCAAATAAGCGTAATGAAATAACCATGGCTCCTACTTCACTGTATTCTTCAGAAAAAATATCCTGAACAAGGCCTGACATCTAGGAAATGCATACTTATTATTAGCTGAAAAAAAATAGTTTTAGAAAATATTCATGCCATGGAAGACATGCGTGCTGGATGTCAAGTCAATCTAGGCTTTGTAACAAAATCATCACATATAATCATTAATAATGAGTTGACATTCTACCTGTTAATATTGATTCCAAAAGAGAAACAACAACAACAAAAAAAACCGATGATGCCAAGTCTACAGATAGAAATCAAAATCTCAGATACCCGTCCATCAATGTGAAGATCTTCAATGTTTAAAGTCATGCATTCTTAGTTCTAGTCATTATTAGATTAGAGTGAGATTAGAAAAAAATTATAGTTTAAAAATGGTAGCTTATAAGAGTTTTCCAGCATTTTAGAGATGGCATGTTTTCAAAGTGGGGTGTGTGTGTGTGTGTGTGTGTGTGTGTGTGTGAACGTGAAAAATGTTTCATAGTGAGTCAAGCCCACTAGCCCTGTAAGACCATATTGTTCAAGCAGAGCAAGAATGTCTGCTTTAACCCCCCAGCAGGTCTTTTTTTTTTTTTTAAGATTTAATTATTTTTTTACTTGACAGATTACAAGTAGGTGGAGAGGCAGGCTGAGAGAGAGGAGGAAGCAAGCTCCCCGTGGAGCAAAGAGCGCAGTGTGGGGCGGGATCCCAGGACCCCGTGGATCATGACCTGAGCAGAAGGCAGAGGCTTAACCCACTGAGCCACCCAGCACCTCCCCCTCCCCACCCCCACCCTAGCCCCAGCAGGTCTTAACCAACTGCTGCACCTGAACTTCAAAGATTACCAAAGGTTTCTTCGGTTCAGGCAGCTCAGCAGTGAGCTGTGATGAAACCAGCTGGTGACTCAAATTCCTCAAACTCTTAAAAAGAGTTTTATCTTTCTCCACAAAAGATGTCCAGTGGCCCTCTCCTCTTTCTGTCTCCTTATTCCTGCAGGAAACACCTCCCCCACCCCATAGCTAGACAGTCGCATGACCAGTGTGACACTTTCGACGGTAGCCACCAGGCGGCACCCTTCTCCACCCGACCGCGATTTGTTTGTGGCTGGTTTTGCCAGAGGCCACATAGGATCCAGAATTTAAAATGTCGGTCTTTGATTTTTCAAAGCTAGTTGATCTTAAGAATTGATGGACAAGGGAAGAAAAATTAAGGTAAGAAACACTGAAAGAAAAGAGAGGTTTATAACTTCCATTATAAAAAGAATGAGCGGCTCAGTCAGTTAAGCATCTGACTCTGGGTTTTCACTGAGATTGTGATCTCAGGGTTGCGAGATTGAAGCCTGTGCTGGGCTCTGCACCGGCTGTGGAGTCTGCTTAAGATTCTCTCTTCTGCTCCTCTGCCCCCTAAAGAAATCATGCAGTGTGCAACACACTAAGTGTGTGTTTATTAAAGTGTATATGTTGATTTTATGTGTTAATATAGCAAAACCGAGAGGAGATACACAGATCGTCTATCACTAGCTAATTGGAACGAGAGTTTCAACTGAACTCATTTTCAACTTTTTGACAATAAGCACAAATTACATGTACTTTTATCCACTTAACTTCTGTAACCAGAAAAAAAGAAAAGTTTAAAAAAAATCGTTGAGCTCTCTTTGCCCAAATTCAATACCTACCAAACCGTTGAGCTATATTTGGACTTTCGAGGCACATGCCGCAGAGACAGAATGCCTGTTGCACTGTTTGCGGCCAAATGTACATAGCAGCAGAAATGAGACCCGTGCCATCCGGGCATCGTGTCTCTTTTGAACATGGTCAGATGAATTACTTTCCCAGAACGGAGTAATTCCTGAGCAGCTTGGTGAGATGAGTTTCTTTTCTTAATGTGCACAATTGGGGAAGAGAGACAGACTCCCTGGAACCCCAGGAATATGCCAGGGTACCCCCAGGCCACACTGTGGCGTCCGTTTTGCCATCTTTAATATGAGAGATATCGCTCTGGTTCCTGGAGGGAAATGCCAGCAGGATTGTGACTCCGGAGGTGCAGGCGGAACGAAAACACCATGGGGTCCAGCATAGCCGCAGACACAGCACCGATCCCTGTTGCGACACAGGGGCGCCAGAAACGCACGGGACAGAGAGGCCCCGGGCTGGCAGTAGAGGAAGCCAGCCACACGCTGGACTTCTTTGCCCAGAGACTTCGAAAGGAAATGGTGGAGGTTATTTTCTACTATTTCCCTTTGTTTTGGTCAAGCTCGGGCAAAATAAAGACATTGGGGCCACGGAAGAGCCGTGCCCCTCCCTTCTCCATTTCTCGGCACAGCTAAAACGTTGAATGCCCAGGCGTGTGGGATGGGTCAGAGTCAGACTGAAGAACTGCAGACCTGCCTGTAGCCCTGGCAGGCTGTGAGCCACTCTGTACCTCATTTTGTTCACCTAAAGAAAGGACAAGGATAACAGTACTTACATCAGAGCATTATTGTGAGAGTTATACGGTAAGTGGGTGCTCAGAACTTAGTCTGGTAGCAAGTAAAATGCCTTTTTAGAAAATATATATATATATATATAAGTGTCAGCCCCCTTATCACCACCGTTCTCATTCTTAGGATCATTTTCATTGTCCTTTCATTAGCAGAGAGCAGGTAGGAAATGACCGCATTACTTCAAGCCTGGCACACCAGAGAGGCGCTAGGAATGCATTAATGTAAATCGTGAGTCTGTGTGGATCTGTGACAACTTGCTGCCAAATAGAAAAAGATACCCTCTTCAAGACATTTCCCAGCCCCTTCCTGGAAAACTATCATAAATAAACAGAGGCATCCACAATGGCTCTTCTGGGAAAGGTGCCTCCTTGGGTTGTGCAGTGCACGGCCTTTGCCGCTGTACACTGACCCACTTCACCCTCTGATGGAAGAGACCAGAGGGGCGGTGACAGGTGAATTACTGGACAACAGAGAGAGAGGGGACCAAAAGGAAACTCGGATGGGCCTAGGAGATGCCTGAATGTATGTGCAAAATTCTGGTAAGGGCACGAGAGTGTTATGTCCCAAGGAGAAAGTTCATTGTTTTTCTCAGATATTACAAGGAACCGTGAGTCCCCCAGTTTTCAGGAGCGCTATTCCCGAGGTAGGAGATGCGATGACGTGGGCACGCGGAGTCGGAAATGATGCAGAAGCGAAGGCAGGCTCTAGAGGCACCTGGTGATTCAAGGAGGCTGTTCTGCCCCGAGGCCAGCGCTGGGGCTCTCTGGCATGTGGAAACTCAAAAACTGAAATGGGAGGAACTTTCCAAAAATGAAGAAGGCAGGACGCAAGCAGAGACTTCCTGGTGCAGTTCCCGTTCGTTCAGTCCAGTCCCGCTCTGGAACACCAAGAGGGCCACGGCGGCACCCTCTCTTTGAGTCTCCACATCTCCTCCCCACAAGGGGTCTGCAGGCTGTCCGTCACTTACATTCGGCCAAGACATAGTCCCCCATGGCTCCTCCTGCAGAGACAGGAGACAGGAAAGTGCATCGCAGACCCAAGCACCCTGCTGCCTTGTCCCTGGCCCTGACCTCCCACATCATTCACCTCAACTGGGACCGCCCCCTGCCTGGAGACCTCCCAGGGTTCACATCATCATCCCTCACCTGGAGCTGCTTACCAGCTTTCTAACTGGGCCTCCTTGTGTCCCGCCTCACCTCCTGACACTCATTCTCCAACTGCCAAGAGTCTGTCCCCGCCCACTGTTCCTGCACGGACTTCCTGGGCTCACTGGCTAGCCTCCTTGAGGCCCCCAGAGCTCCGCACGGCTGGCTTCCGTCTGCCCCTCTTCTTCGTATCTATCTAAGGACCTCAGGGGCTCTCCTTTCACTGTGTTAACTTGTGCTAGATTTCATTCCTTTCTGGATGTGGGTTCGAGAACAGCAATAGCGATGAACTCAACGTTAAAGCCCATGCACTGCTTTAAATAGCAGCTTGCAACATAGTAGGTTCTCCAGAGAAGTTTGTTGAACTTGGAGCTTTTGTTCCCAGGAAAACCATGAATTCCTGCTCCCGGGGTCGTGCACATGTTCCCAAAGAAAAAAGAGGACCAGGCTTCTCTTGGACGGATATCAAAGCCCCTTTGCCCTCCCTCAGCCCCGCTTCCTGACGCGTTAGTGTGTCCCCAGGTCAGAGGAACTGAGAGATGTCCTCCTTCCTCCTACTCACTTGAAGCCTGTCTTTTCTTTAAGATTCTGAACAGAATTCCAGTAAAAAGGAGGATGATGCAAACCGCGATCCCACTGATGACTCCAATGACCAGGGTGCCAGACACTGGGGCCTCTAAAAAGGCAAAAGCAAGGGAAAGCTGGCACACCGGCCCCAGCCCAGCTCAGCCCCTCCCCTCACTGCCAGGCTGAGCCGCCTTCTTCTCCCCAACAACGGACTTGCCCCACCCCCTCGCCTGTACCCCAGGCGGCAGTGAGGGGCTGATCCAGGCCGGGGTGCTCCACTTGGCAGGTGTATCTCTGCTCTTCCCCAGGGGCCACAGCCAACGCCGCCCAGCCCTGGTAGGTCCCATCCCCGTTGGGCAGCACATCCTTCGGCTCAACGTCCGTGGCATCCAGTGGCTGCCCGTCCTTCAGCCACTTCATGGTGATGTTCTGCGGGTAGAAGTTAAGGGCCTGACACCGCAGGGTGCTCACAGCCGAGGCCACACGCTGAGTTACCTTCACCAGAGGGGGCACTGCACAGGAAGGAGGAAGGATCTGGAGAGGGGAGTTTTCTACCCTTACCAGGAAGACTGGAACTTTCACTTCCCTTCCTCCATGGGTTGGAGGAGGAAGCGAACCCTGTCCCGACACAGCTGCAGGACAGTCATTGTTTTGTGTCCTAAATCATGTCGCAGGAATGTCAGCTGTGATGGGGAGCTGCACAGTGGACAGTCAAGCCCATTCTCCTGCCCATGTATAAACACACTTACCTGCAGCGCGCGGCTTCTGTCCTTAGTCAATAGAGTCAGTGGAATCGGATAAAATTTCACAGTGTGCAGATGTGATCGAATGAACCCTACTGGCAAATTCTCCCTGGCTCAACCCAGTAAGGGTTCTTGTAAGAAGGGCCCTCCAAGATGGGCAGTCCTCAGGGACTCTCTGTTGTTGTCTGTTCTGTAAGAGTAACCTTTAACCTCCCAACAATTCTGCTACTCTGGCTGGTTGCCTCCTTTGGTAATTTCTTGGCTGGGCTTTCATGCAGTCATTGACAGCTATGAAATTCCTAAAAGGTGTAAATATACACAGGTTTCTCGGGAAAATCAAGAGATCACAGATACTTCTTCTTCTGCCATGTGTAGGGAGAAAAAACCCTAAAACCCTGACCCTCAGCGGTGTCCTACATCTCAGTTCTAAGGCGGAGCCCTCAGACCTCAGACCTCTTGGCCCTGAGAGTCATGTGACCCTGGCCACCTGGGAAAGCCCAGCCCCAGACCTCGCCCTGCATTCCCCTCCATGGCATCTGGACAGTCCAGGGGCAGCCGGGCATCCCCACCATACCTTGCCGGTCCAGGACCCCTCTCCCCAGCTCCAGCAAGCGCTGCAGCTGCTCAGGGCAGTCCCTCTCCAGGAAGGCCCTGTTCTGTTTGGCCCGAATCTTGTTCACTTCCCATTCCAACTTGGTGGCCTGGGCCTTGGGCTCTGCTGCTCTCCAGTCCAGCGTCTCGGGGCAGAATTCCAGATGGTTCTGCCCGTCATACCCATACTTCCAGAACCCCCTGGTGCTGTTGTCCTCTTGTACCTCACAGCCCAAGATCACTTGGAGGGTGTGGGACTCTGACAGCACCCCGAGCTTCGTTACTGAAACCAAAGGAGAAAGTCCTTGTCTTGTCATCCCCAGGGAGCCTAGGACCTCAGACTCCTTCCCTCCTCCCTCGGGACCTCAGACTCCCTGCTTGCTCCCCACAGATGCATCTTCGAGGTAGAGAAGCGCTCTGCCCCCCCTGGGAAAGGCAAGTGCCCTCTCCATGTACCCTTGCTGTGGTTGTGATTGTCTATGATGGTCCAGAAGTCCACAATGAACATGTGATCCCAGCCTTTCAGGCTCTGACTCAGCTGCAGCCACAGCTGGCTGGTGGCCCCACCCTGGACCCACTGGGTTCGGGGCTCTGCACGACGACTCTCATGACTGTAGGACACGAACAGCTGGTCGTCCACGTAGCCCAAGGCCTCAAACAGGGGCAGCCCAAGATCCGGCACTGAGGCGCCCATGAAGAGGTAGCGCAGAGAATGGGATCCTGGGGAGAAGGCAAGAGGACATCTCTGTGGGCCGCGAAAGGGGCTGGGAGGCAGCAGGGCCGCACCTCTGCTCCGTCTGGGCCCACCCACCACACGTGAGCTTCAGGGCCTCTCCGCCCCCCACCACAGCCTGGGTGCTCTCCCCTCCCCAGGGGGGCTGCCACCACCCTCTTGGAGCTCCCAGCCTCTGCCCCATTCCCACATCCACCAACTCTCTAAGATCCCAAAGGGTCTCTAGCTGGGGCAGCCGAGCTCAGGGCGCTCACAGGGAATTAGATCCACGTGTAGAGGAATTCACTGCTGGGTTGTTGTTTGTTTGTTTGTTTTTTCATAATTCCCATCTAAACTCTTTCCTGTGTAAGTGTTTGCTGTGAACTGCTGGCAGATCTGCTGATGCATCACTAGGATACTTTCAGAGCAAACATGGAAGAAGACCCAGGAAGGGCAAGAGAGAGTTTCCCTTCCTTCCGCTGTGGAAAGAGGGACTCTGGGATGAACACCTAATACCTAGAACAGCGCCTGGCATGTACTAGGGGCTCGGTACATCCTTGTTAGATGAATTGATGATAACTCCTTGCTGTTTATCTCTGGCCCTGAACTCCAGATTCTTACACCCAACTGCCAACAGAGCACCACTGGTTGGATAACTAATTGGAAAAATACAACTTCAGTCTAACTCTTGATTTCCCCCAAGCTGCTCGCTCTTCTGCCTTCACCATCTCAGAAATGGCATCACCCATCACCCCACGGCTCAGGCCACTGACACATCTAAAATAATTTTAAATCACAGAGTCGCCTTTGACTTTTCTCTTTCTCTCACACAGTGCCGAGATCCTTTGGCAACCTCCTTCTAAAGACATCCAGAAAGCACCTGCTGCTCACGGTCTCCTTGGCTAGCCCCAGGCCCGGCTGCCATCTCCCCCTGCATCCCAGCAACAGCTCCCTTGCTGCTCCCCAGCTCTGACTGTGACTTCCTTCACCCCTGCCTCCCACAGAGCGGCCAGACCTATGGCTAATGGTGTCCCTCCTTGGCTAGAACCCACACGGCAGCTGTGAGGTCCGAGGAGACTTTGCCTGTGGCGGGGGCCTGAGCCCCCGGCGAGTCTCCACCTCTGGTCGCTGCTTCTCCTGCATCCCAGCCACTCCTAATTGGGACACTGTGACTCCCTCATCAATGTCTGGAGACACTTCTGACCGTCAGAACTGGGGAGTTGCTACTAACATCCAGTGAGTAAAGGACATCCTACAATGCACAGAACAGTCCCCACAACAGAAAGTGTCAGTTTCCCTAAGGTTGCAGTCTCTGCTTCAACTCAACCTGCGGGGTCCACTCAGCTCAACTGGGAAGTGGTGCTTCCAAAAGGCTCATCACCTACTTCCCTCAGCCTGAGAGGAGCCTGCCCCAGCCTCCCCTCCTCAGCCATCTTCACAGCTCCTGCTGCTACCTGGGGCTCTGTGTCCTTTTGTTTGTTAGTTTCTTGTCATCTCGCCTCTAAAATGCAAAATACCAGAGGGCAAGGGCTTGGTTCCCTGCTATCTCCCTGGGTCTAGAACAGGGCAATTCACGCTCCATTACTCCCTTTATAAGTGTGAACAACGAATATTTCTGTTCCACATCAAATTTAGTGTTCAGTCTCTACTGCGGTGTGACATTTAAGAATCACAGCTGTGGAGATGCAGGTGCTGCTTCAAGAGCCTGGGGTGACGTGGAACAAAATTACCCAGGAGCAGGTCATGCCTCATTCCGATGTCTAAAACGTGGGCACACATCCGACCTGCCCTCCAAGCGTTGTTCTGGGACTGTAAACGTGTGTGGAGAGTCCCCTTCAGCTGAGATTAGAAACTGTGATAGCTCTTCATTTTCCATCAGAGAACCAGATCGCCTAAGTTCTTTCTAACCTGGGGAGGGAACTGAGCCTGAGGAATTTTACGCCAGTAAAATCACCCTCCGACTGGCTCCTACTTCCCAAATGCTCAGTGGAGTCAAACCTGATCACAGAGAGGAAGGTGATTTAAAACCGAGTTCAATGTCAGTTATCCTCACGTTGGCATCCTTTAGTAAAGGCCTGTCAGTTACACATACTACGATGAACTTTGCAAATCAATCCCCACACCCCGCCCGCGGCTGAAAATGCGAACTGCTGCATTCAGTTCAAAAGTCCAGAAATCACAGATACGTTATTTTTTCCAGGCAAAGGAATAACCGCCAAGAGTCAGTAAGGTTCGGGTCAGATCTGTCTCAGGGGCCTCTCCCCACCCCGAGTTGGAAAGGGTGTGTGTGTGGGGGGGTGGAAGCCCAGCCCCCACTCGATCACGGGCCCCCACGCGTCTGCGAGGCTGGACGCTGTGTGTGGGGGGGTTGCTCAGCCGAGGCCTGCTGCTCTCTGCCAGCCCTGAGTGTCAACACACCGGCCGGGCCCACGTCGTCTCTGGGGAGAACTTCCTGTTTGGGGACCACCGGGGAAAAACACGACATGGTCCAAAGCAGAGCAACAGCACCCAGCTCGGACTTTGAGGACCCGGGGATCCCAGCTCAGCCTGGATGAGAAACGCGCAGATTTGGAGTTAAAAGTAGTTAAAAGCGTCGCAGTCGGCGGAGGGGGCGGGAGGCTCCGAGCGCCACCCTGGGGAACTGCGACGGAGGTGGGGGCCTCACAGGTCCCGGGCGAGGGAACCCGCAAACCCTCCCGCACCCGGCAGTGGAGCCCCTCCCGGGAGAGTCGGGGACAGGCCGCGCTCGGGGCCGAGCCGTGCCCCCCGCTCTTGGCGACCCCCGGCGCTCAGCAAAGCTGGTTTCGATCTCGTCCCCCCGCGGCCCGGACTCACGCGGCGGCGGCCCGGGCTCGGCCACGGCCCGCAGCAGGAGCAGCAGGAGCAGCGCGCGCCGCGCTCCGGAGCCCATCTCGGCGCGGTGACCGCGCGTCTCCCCGGCTCCGCGCGTCCCGGAGCTTCACCCGCCTCCGAGCGGCGGCGACGCGGGCATGGCCAACAAGTCACCCTGGAGTCGCTGCCCGGGCTGCGGGGATACCAGACAAAACTTCCTGGCCAGGGCGATCCTTTTCCGGGGCCGAGGCTGAGAAGAAACGCGGCTCCTGAACTTGAACTCTCCTGCGGCCCAGAGCACTGGCTTGTGAAACACTGTGACCCAGATGTCCCTGGGGGTTTTCAGGCCTATGGGGACGTTGCTGATGGGGGAGAGTATGCTTACCAGTGTTCCGACCGAAATAGCCTGATTTCTGATATCTGATACTTAAATAGGAATTTAAAAATTCAGCGATACATTTTCAGCATTTTTATCTTGAGTTCAGCTTGCCAATCCTGTTTATTCAACTTAAAAATACGGTTTTTGTGTAAAATTTCCATTTTATTCCCACATTAGAAACAATGAAATCGTAAGTTTAATAAATTAGAACCTACTGGAACATCTTTCACAATTTAATAGTTAGATTTCACAAACTTTACAACACATTGAGATCACCTAGAAAATCATTAAACTTATTGATGCCCTGTTTTTACTTCAGCTACTGATTTAATTGGTGTGCGTGTGGTGTTACCTGGGGATTGGAATTTTAACCCCTCCCCCACCCCCACCCCACACCCAAAGTTTGGGAACTACTGCTTTAGATATTTCAAAACATATTACCAAATTTAATACATCTGATTTTCCTAAAAACCTTTAAATACCTAATAAATCCAATGAGCAATACCTTTTTAAGCATGTATGCCAATTTTGGCCACCTAAGAAAAATAAATCAGATTTGGAAACTGGGGCCTAACTGCAGGGGGATATGAAATGCAACCGGAAAAATGTTGAATACAGTGGATGAATCCATTTAGGTTGATTGTAATATTCTTTTTTCTTGGTAACAGCTTGATTATTGAGATTTAATTCACATACCGTACAATTCATCCACTTAAGGTGTAAAATTCAGTGAATTTTCACATTTTTACACAGGCATGTGACTATTTACACAGTTCTAGAACATTTTTCATTCTCCCCACAAAGAAACCTGTGCCTTTTAGACAGCACTAGGCAATGCCTCCCACCCCACCGCAGGCTGTCACTAATCTACTTTCTGTCTCAATAGATTTACCTCTTCTGAACATTTTAGACACATGGAATCCTAGACTATGTGATTCTTCATGACTGGCTTCTTTCATTTAGCGTAATGTTTTCACATTTCTTTTTCATGGATGAATAATATTCCATCACACCCCATTTTATTTCTCCCTTCGTCAATTGATGGAAACTAGGTTATTTCAACTTTGTGTCTATTAAGAAGAATGCTGCTCTGAACATGTGTGTACCCATTTTTGTGTGGACTTACATTTTCTTTTCTTTTGGGTATGGACCTAAGGGTGGAATTGCTATGATGACTCTATGTTTAATTAACCTTTTGAGGAACCGCCAGACCGTCTTCCAAAGTGGATATACCATTTCGTGCTCTCGTCAGCAATGAATGACAGTCCCGATTTCTCTATACCTTTGCCAACACTTCTTATGGTTCATCTTTATAATGCTAGCCGTCCCAGTCAGTGAGAAGGAATGCCTCATTGAACTTTGGGTTTGCCTTTCCCTGATGACTGGTGATACTGAACATCTTTTTTTTCACCTGAATATTGGCCATCTAGGAACCTTTTTTGGAGAAACGTCTGTTCAGATCCTTTGCCATTTTAAAATCTGGGTTATTTGCTTTTTCTCATTGAGTCATAAATGTCCTTTATGTATTCTAGATGTAAGGCCAGTACCAGATATACGATTTGGGAATTCCAATTCAGTGTGTGATCTTTTTACTGTCTTGATGGTGTGCCTCCCGGCACGGACACTGCTAACGTTGGTGAAGTGCAACTTACCTATTTTTTCTTTTGTTACTTGTACTTTGGGTGTCATAACTGAGACATCATTGCCAAATCCAAGGTCACAAAAGTTTATACCTACGGTTTCTTCTAAGTATTTGTAGTTTTAGTTTTTACATTTATGTCTTTGATTCATTTTGAGTTAATTTTTAGATATGGTATGAGGTTGAGGTCCAACTTCATTCTTTTTCATGTGTGTAAAAGTAAAATCTCAGCTCTTCCGCATTGTATTTTCTATCCTGTGTGTCTCCTCTTCTACTCACACAAAACACTTGACTTCGGACTCGTCTAGTTAGCTCTCACTGCACGGAGGGACACTGGAGACAATAAATGCTGTCTGGTCTGGGGTGCCAGCCACCGGCCATGCAGAGATTGACAGCAAGCCCCACTGCGCTGCTTCTTAGCTTGCCTACCTGATTAGAATAGCTTTTTCCAAAGAACTCCAATGGTGCCATGGCTGGAATGCTTGCTAACATGGGCATCTGAGCAGTGGTGTTCATGGAGTCTGATGAAAGCTCTGTTTGAGGTTCCTGGCTTCTTTTCACCCCTCCCCAGAATGTAAGATTATGTCCTTTGTCCCAACCATCTGCTTCCAGGGATATGCCAGACCCACCCAGGTCTACCAACAGCCTAGCTCCTTCCTCATGTGCTAATGGTGGCCGCCTTCAGGCCTCAGTGTTCAGTATGGCAGGCGTAGGTGGCTGCTTCTCCCCAAGGGACATTCACCCAGCACTGACTGGTTCCATTCTTGCTGCACTGCTACCCTCTGTGGTCTGAGTGGAGGCCTCGCTGACCCCTTAGGGAGACTGGGTATCAGTGTGATGGCAAAGGAAGAGACATAGGCTGGGCACTGCACCACTGCTTCCTGCCGAGCGGTCTTATGGTGGGTCACATATATTGAAGGCAGTTCTGTGGAGCAGGAGTAGGAGGTAGATGGACCCTGGGCCTTCCCTTCTGAAGTATTAGCTCGCTCCACGAGACCAGTAACCACCTGTAGGCTGGCCTCAGCCCCTCCAGTCTCCAGAAACCCTTATGGATGGGCAGGTGTTAGGGGTTGAAATGTGTCCCCCACTAAAATGGTTGAAGTCCCAACTCCCAGTACCTATACGTAACTTCATTTGAACATCAAGTTTTTGCAAATGATCAAACTAAGAAAAAGCCATTAAGATGGGACCTAATCTGATAGAACTGATTTTGACCCAGAGAAGTTCATGGAGGGGGGATGTGAAGACATGAGGGTACCTGAGAGCAGCCTAGACGCAAGGAGAGGGACCTGGAACAGATTTTCTCTCGCCTTGCTCAGAAGGAATCAACCCTGCCAACCCATTTTCAGAATTAACCCCCAGAATTAACACCAGAACAGTGATTTCAAAGTGTCCAAGTCCTGATTATTACCCGAGGAGAGAAAAGGAAAGGGAAATGCAATTTGCAGAATGCCAGGTCTGTACGAAGGATCACTCTGGGCTGTCTATACAGGAGAAACTTACTCTCAACATCTTCTTAAAAATATATTTTTCTGGGGCACCTGGGTGGCTCATTTGGTTAAGCGTCCAACTCTTGATTTTGGCTCAGGTCTTGCTCTCAGGGTCATGAGATGGAGCCCCACGTCTGGCTCCGTCTGCAGCGCAGAGTCTGCTTGTCCCTCGCCCTTCCTCCTGCCCCTCCCCTCGCTCCCTCTCTCAAATAATTTAGGTATTCAGACCATTTACATTTAACCATTACATGTAACGGGTAAGTGAGTAAAATCTTTAATAGATATATAACCTCTATTTGCAAATAGGGACTTAGGGCCTTGCCCAAGTTCACTGAGGTGAACAACTCTGTGAACTCACAGAAATGAATAACTTCTCGCCTTAATGACTTCAGTAGAATCAGAGAGGTACCAGGCCAGGTTCAACAGAAACTGTGTTTCATTCCCCCTGGTTCCTGACCGTTTCTTCATCTTCCTCTGAAATGGGCGGTCTAAACCCACGATCAATTCCTAGGAATGCCAGGATTTGTTAGGAAAGCTTGTTTTCCTATCTTCATCTGTACATTCACGCAAGGAAATGTGTCTTGGGCCCGTTTAGGCACCTTCCATCTGCTTGCTCCCCTGACTTCTCTCCCTCCTCCTGCCCCTTCGTGCTCCGTCCACAGGAATGGTCACGTTCTAGGCCAAGAATGTTTGTTCCTCTCTCTCCTCTTTCCTTTGAACTCCTGCTACACAGTGAGCACAGTGACCTTGCTCTACATCGTTCAGCACTGTTGCCTAGTGGAAGTACTCGATAACTATGTTTAGATTGAGTAAATAAATGAGCCAGTGAATGAATGTCCAACAGCAGACCGTGAAGCCAACTGAAACCCACTTGGGAACTTGGGAAGACTTCCTGGCTGTCTCTATTCCCGGTGCCCCCAGTGCTTGTGAACACCAGAAGACATTGCATGGACTTACACGTATATGCTAATATACTACCTTTCTCACTAGATTCGTCACTGACCGAGACCCTCTCTTTGCTACCTGATAATCCTGACGCTTTGCAGAGTAACCAGCACAGATCTACACAGTTGCTTCCGCCGTAACCCAGTACATACATTCCTGAAAAACCTCATAGTCTTAAAAAAAATACGCTCACATTCAACAGGGGTCATAGAAAACAAGGACGGGGCAGACAACTGACAACTCTTGAACAGGTATACGAAAGGAAGGAGTAGCTGCTTCCCCCCACACGCTCGGAGTGGATCTTTCATTAACTTTGCACGGATGTCCTGTTAATTGATGGATGATCCTTAGATAGACAATTTGATGCATTTCTTTTTTTGAAAGATTTTATTTATTTATTTGAAAGAGAGAGCATGTGAGCACATGTGAGAAAAAGGAAGAGGGGTGTGCCTGGATGACTCAGTGGGTTAAAGCATCTGCCTTCAGCTCGGGTTATGATCTCATGGTCCTGAGATCAAGCCCTGCGTTGGGCTCCTTGCTCAGCAGGAGAGCCTGTTTCTCCCACCCCTTCTGCCCCTTTCCCCACGCTCCCCCCTTGCTCATGCTCTCTCAAATAAATAAATCTAAAAAAAAAAAAAAAGAGAGAGAGAGATTGGGAGCAGAAACAGGGGGACCAGAGAGAAACAGACTCCCCACTGAGTGGGAAGCCTGATGGGGGACTCGATCCCAGGACCCTGGGATCATAACCAGAGCCAAAGGCAGATGCTTAACTGACTGAGCCACCCAGGCGCCCCCACTTGTATACATTTCTAAGTATATAAAACACTGAGACACCTCTTAAGCA